GTACTCAAAGTGGCCTTACCCCGCATGCGCTTACACTGGTCCCTCTCCTTACAGGTAACGCAACAAGGTAGATGAGTAAAAACTACCCCCCTGGCTGATCCACTGAGGGGGTGTGATCATATTCCCCAAAGATGAAACTCATTGATTGCCCCCTTGGGAATTTAGAGCTAGGCTTATACCCTACATCTGGCCCCTATACTGGAAACATGTACATCACTGTGGCAGTATCACATGATATTTATCAAATTTCACAGGGGTCTGTCTATTCAAAGCTCTGTACAAGTACTTACCATAGTCTGTTCTATCAGTCTGATGTGAAATTGGAACATTTCAATAGACAGTTTTTTTTTTTTTCAAACTTTTAAACAAGGTACCTCCCTATACAATACCTATGAAAACCCCCAGATTTACACATATACAGCTCAGACTAAACAGCTGGAATGCCCCTACACACACCAAATCCTTTTACTTTCGCAGAAAACACTGTCCTGTGTCATATCCATATCAAATCTAGCAATATCTAGTCTTTTTGTTTCCTATGAACACTAAAAATGACTATTTCTCTGGCCCGGGTTGGGGGGGGGGAATATATGGCACATTTTGATAGACAGCTTTTAATTGACAAAAATTACTATAGCAAAAAACTTTACAAATCATTTAGTCCAACATTTTCAACGAACCTATATCACTTTTGCAGTCATCTAAGCATTCCAAGCCATATCAGGCCACTTTCAAGCATCCATTATACACACTCCCATAGGGTAATGCTTCATATAATGCTAATATCACACTTTTACTAGAAATCAGGCAAAAAAAGGCACCAGCATCCCCCAAATTTGGTTATCAGTAAAGAGAATGCACTGGTTGATAATATTGGAAATTGATTTTGCCAAACCTAATTAAGGTAATGAGTTTAACAAGGGTTCAATACCTCTTACAGGGGAGGGACCAGTGAATGAAGCTTCCATTGGAATTCTATGGTGAAACCACTAGAAACAAGCACTTAAAAACACATTTACTTTTATTCCAAACCGCAAGTCTTAACCCCCACTGGAAGGCTGAATTTGTCAGGTTTCTTTTGGTACAAATAGTGGAAGTTCGACTCCTGCCTGTTTTTGAGTTACAGCCCAAATATTGAAATGATACGTGGATTTCACCCCCTGTCCAAGTGGAACAGTCCATTCACCCAGGACCCATCTCGGGGTCGATAGAAGGTCAAGTCTTGCCAAAGGTCAAACTTTTTGGGCAGATTTGAAAAATACACATTCTTCTGTCCTACTTACCACAAAACTGGGCCTGTCTGAGCAAAATTTCCCCAGGAAAAAAAATTATTTCAAAAATAAGTCCAAAGGGTACTCAAAGTGGCCTTACCCCGCATGCGCTTACACTGGTCCCTCTCCTCGAACGTATGTTACTAGTAGGTTTCGCCCCCCTCCCCCTTTGAATTCCACGACACTACTACTAGTTTTCACATACCTAAAATGTATATATATTATCGTCCTACTGCGGTCCATCTTCCACAGAAATGGTCTCAAACTATTCCTAACGACAACTTAACACTTTGTTGACCGTTTCTTAGCCTTACCTGCTTCCTACGATGTTTTTTTTTTCTCTCTTCACGTAAACAGGAACTCGGGCAGCTTTGTCCTTCAGTCGTCAGAGGTTAGAGGTGAAATCAATTCGTGTCAAAGGTGAAGCTGTCTGCCTGATTACCCATGTGGTACTGTGACGTCGGGGGGCACGTTACGTTTTAGTGTCCTCATAATATAAACACTTTACACTTCGAACAGACCACCTAAAGAAGGAAGGATAAAAAGTTTATATTACCACATAGCATAGCCTTTCTAGATTTACAGACCCAAAGTTCAAAAGGACACCCTGAAGTTATGAGGGTGTGACAAGGGGTTACCGGAACCAATGAAAGCAGAATTTTAATCTCTATGCATTTTAGTCATCTTTAAGGCGCATTGTCTCATATGGGCAGTGGCTTTGATGAATGGTTTACTGTGGTTTGAGAGAGGAAAATCTACTGATTCAAAAACAAGCGTCGTTGGGTTGGGCCATACATAACGCGAGTCATGACTGAGGGGTCTTTATATGAGGGATTTTCGGGTTTTTGGACTATACTAAATCGGGCGATGACTGCACCACTGGGTACGTTAGGGTAAATGTGGGCATGTCGATGTGTGATAATCATTAGAACATTATGGAAGAAGCTTGAATGAATTAGGAATGTTGATTTGGGCTCTATATGGAGGATATGGGAATACCTGTAAATGGGACTAGGCTGGTTTTACACAGTTTATTGTGCTTCTCTTAGATGAGATAAGATGGGGTAAACCATTATGCTGGGAGTGGACTCTTTTTGCTAACATTCGTAGCCCGTTTTCATTGAGTGTGAATATGAAAATGAGTATAAATATGAATATGAAAATGAGTATGAATTATATAAATGATGATGATGATGATGATGACTGGTTTATTAATAAAAACATTAATTAAAATCATTTTGCAGCCCGGAGGCTGAATTGCATGTTTGCTGTCATTTGAGTGATTACATAGTAACATGTTAAATGCCTTAAATGCATGACCTCGTTTTATTGATGTGTCATTAAACTCGTATATTTTTTCACTAACGTGTTTTTTTTAATTCTCAATTTTTAGGACGTTCCATAGGCGTCAGGCGTGGCCAGTAACCTAAGAGAGCCGGAGGAAACTATGGAGGATGGCACACAACTTCACCAATCAATGTTGCACTGGGACATTATAATGACGCATCAGGCACCACGAAGACCAATCAAACTGGCAACGTTAACACAACCTTACGAAGTGCTTTCTGTTTTGAGGTACCGCATGTATAAAGAGGGCTTCTAGTCGCTGAAAGAAGATTGTGACATCTGCCCAAATCTCACCACTATAGCCCCCTAATCCTCCTATCCAAATAATTTTCTTCGCATCTTTTATCTTTTGGCCTGGCTTAGCTGTCGAAGATCTTTCATACAAACTGTACAAAGGACGGACTTTCTATGATCCATGTAATCTTCTGGCAGCTTAGCAGCCAGACTATTATCACGTGGGCGTAAGTCAAAACGGAGAAAAGGCAGATATTGGTAAACATCTGGAATATTTCATGTTGGGTAAGCAAGAGCATCAAGAGGAATGAACGAATTCTATAATGAATAAAATCAATATAGTGAAATTGATCAGTGTCAATGGTCGGTTATGAAAGTCCCTAAACACTGTCATAATAACGAGTACCATCTGTCTTACTGACAAAATCAGATTTGAATGATACGGAGAGAAAAGACATCCACGACTCCCATCTAAATAAAATAAAATCTTTTCATCTTTTTCACAGGATGTACAAAGAACGAACTCCTTCTGATAAAGTAATCCACATAATCTTCTGGCAGCTTAGCAGCAAGACAATTATTGTGGGTGTATGTAAAAGCAACTAGCGGTATTTTTTTAATATTACATTTGAGTAAACAAGCTGGTGGCAAAAAGATGGCGCCATAAGGTGGAAAATAGATGATAACGATTCCTAAATTGTATCGCGTGGGAAATTATACAGAGAAATTTTCGTTCAATGTTTGCATGTAAAATCTACGATTTGGCCAGAATTTTGTGAAAAATTCAACATAAATTTGTACACTCTTTCCCATTTCCAATATTTCGTATCCGAACTGGCTGAGGTCTCAAAGGAAAAACATAGTTTTGATGTCATTGTTCTTACTGAGCGGCTTCAATCTTCTCTAGTCTCAGATTACGGGATCTGGCTTCATATTAATTTTTGTCTAGTACCATACGTGAGTCGACAACAGGCTTGCCAGGAGAAGGACGTGTTTTTTCGCTGTCCAGAACCCTACAGTGTCATCATGTCGGAAGAAGAGCAACAGTCTCAGGAGGATGACACTGGTAAATACAAATATACAATTGGGCAAACTTTTTTGTGTCTGACGTTTGAGAGAAAAAAAGAAAGAAAGTCAATCATTTTATTTGCCATTAGTGCCCCGTAGTGAATTGCTCTCTAAAATTTGGATATTTCTATTCCTTGTATTTCATTTGTTATTTTTTCAGTTTACTTAATAATTTTTTTATCATTGTAAAATGATTCTTGCTCATTCTTAATTATTTGACGATTAGGCGAAGATAAACACTGTATCTTTCTGTTTGAATTTTTCTTTATTTCTCTCAGGTGCCACACCCATGCGGCGGCCTGAGTCTTATTGGCTAGCAGATGCGGACGCCGCTGCAAGAATACCCAACCCTATGTACGCCTCCAATGCAGGTACATCATGTACAGAGTTTATCATTTCCTTTTTCCTATTACTGGTGTGAATTTTCCGAGAAGACTAATTGAATTTTCTTTACTTGTCTCAGGCACCGCACCCATGCAGCAGCCTCAGTCACTGCAATCACGTCCGGACGCCGCTCCCAATATACCAAACCCTTATGACCCACCCAATGCAGGTAAATTGATTACGGTCTTTGTTTCTTCATTTCATTTTTGCATCTTCTACCTTGTATATTAAATGCCTCAAATTATCCACGGATGGCTGCATTCAAACTTTAGTCTTTTTTTAATTCTTTAGGTGCTACACTTATGCGATCACTTTCGAACGCCGCTGCGAAAATGTTCAACCCTATGTACGCCTTTAGTTCAGGTAACTCGTTTATATTCCCTATCTTGTTCCTTTTGTATGTTGAATGCCCAATATTTTTCACAAATGGGTATATTACGTCTTTTTTTTCTCTCACAAATGGCTATATTACGTTTTTTTTCGTCTCAGCCAACCCACCCATGGACCAACCCCAGACTGATTACCAGGCACGTGCGAACGACAATGAAAACACAACCGACGCCACGTACGCCAACATACCAGGTAAAACGTTTGAAGTTTCTCTCTTTACTAGTATCCTGATTTTCATTGCTTTGCTCACCAAATACTAATATTATTATTTATTTTAAGTAGTTATTGAGACTGGCCTGTGATACTATTCGCGTACTTGCCTTTTTTGTTGAGAAAATTCTATAAGAGTTTGTCAAGTTAACTCCACAGTTTCATAATGTAACAAAAGACTTATTTTCAATCACGAAACAAGACCAATGTATACATGCAGGTCCAAAATACTATTTTTTTCACCTTGAAATGCTTAGGTCACATTTCCAAACCGGGGCCCGGCCGAGCAGTTTTGCTTAAGAAAAATTAACAATTTATGTTATTAATATACGCAAATAGTTGTTATTATTAATTTTTCACATTTTTTTGTACATTCTTGTTAGGATAAATCGTTTATAGCCCATATGTTGTTCGTTTTGTATGTTGAAGGCCCAATATTATTCAATAATGACTATATTGCATTTTTTTTTCGCCCAGCGGCCGACCCACCGATGCACCAACCCCAGACTGATTACCAGGCACGCGCGAACGACGATGAAAAACCCGACGCCACGTACGCCGCCATACCAGGTAAAACGTTTTAAGTTTCTCTCTTTTCTTGCTTCCTATTTTTTCAGTCCTTTGTGATTGTAAACTCACTAAAGCTGAGGGTTTCTTTGAAGGTAGTTACCGTGATTGGTCTGTGATACTATTCGCGTACTTGGGTTGGTTTTCGGTGCAGAACTTTAATACGTAGTTTGTCAAGAGTACTCCACAGTTTCGTAATGTACCAAAAACCATATGAGCTCAAAAGAAACCACTGTAAAGATTCATGTCCGAGGAACTATTTCTTTACCTAGCCTATAATGCTGATGTCACCTTTCCAAACTGGGGCCTTGCCGGGAAGTTTCGATGAACAAAAAGCATACCAATAATATACGCAAATAGTTCCCATTATCAATTAAAAAAAAAACTTTTCTGGACTTTTCTGTTCAGGTAAATCACTCACCTTGTTTTCGTGTATGTAATGCCCAAATTTTTCCTCAAATGACTATATTACATCTTTGTTTTTTTTTTTTTCGTCCAGACGACCCACTCATTGACCAACCCCGGATTGATCACCAGGCACGTGCAAACGACGATGAAAACACACCCGACGCTACGCACCCCACTATACCAGGTAAACGTCTTAAATTTTCATAAGTAATAAGAAAATGATTTAATTTCTTTGCTTTTCATAATGAAACTTTAATATATATAAATATGTGATGTATGGCAGGTGGAACATTAACAGGCACCAAGTAGGCAAAAATGCCCTAAATACCCTTTAGTCTCCCATTCACAATACGGGTACTCACCGCTACCCACCTGCAGGGTGGTGGACAGGGAGTAGCGCCCCTGCCCATTGAATAGCTGGGTTTCCCCGTCCTCTTACTCACGCCATACAAACTTAACAAGAAAGCGACCACCCCTCACTCACCCCCCCCCCACTGTCATGAGTCTTCAACTTAATGAAGTTTTGACATGTACTTGAAGAAGAAGAAGAAGAAGAAGAAGAAGTATGCATATTATGGTCTCATTTCAATTTGCACAATCAATGCACGATGATGTTATTTTTTCCTAATGGTAAATTATGGGTACTTCATACTCGTGACATGTGTTCATTTGTTCAAACTGAGGATCACTAGTTGTAAATGTTGACACGGGCAATAACCTGAGCGAAGAATGTTTTTTTTCTACCAGACGGCGCGTGTCCGGGTGGAGCGAGCGGCCGCCGTGGTGTCTGTAGCTTCCTCCGCGCCCACCGCAGTTGCCAGACCGCCGGCATCGCCGTGTTGCTTGGCCTGTGCGCCGTGGGACTCGCCCCTCTGACGTTCAGCAACAAACAGGTAACATTCTAGTACCACAAATCTTGTTGTTCAGCTGTTTCTCTGGTTTACATTCTGTTTTAGGGGGGTAAAAGAAATATTTTTCTGCTGGTGTTCACAAGCTTGCTCCTTACGTTCGGTATTCTGACGTGCGTAAATACGTTTGTAGGAAATTTCGCACTTGTCACGCGCCATACACCAACTAGCCACCACTGTCAACGCCTTGAAACAAGATGACGTGCGCCATCTTTCCGCAAGTGATGACGCACTTCGAGCAGAGCTGGAGAAACT